AGTATGGCATTAGTATTAACTTCTACTTGAACTTAATGTAATTTTTTTCTTTTTCTTGTAAGCCTCTGGAAAGATTTTTTTTTTTAGTTGATTTCATATTGACTCCTTAAGATTAGGAAGAGACCTAAATTATCAACCAAGGAAGTGATCCTCTTGGCCACCATATTGAGCTAGTAGACTTGAACTCAGGACTTTGATTTCTTTCTTTCCCCTGCTCATCCACAAATCTTAGCAGTCTTTTAGTCTTTCTTACCTCTGAAAACTCTACATTATTTTTAAAGTGTGATTAAGATTTTTGTCTTGAGTTTTATCTGCTACTACAGTGATACAGTGATTTATTCTGTTTAGTTGACCAATATTTCAAACTGTTATATGTTTTTATTAATGATTTTCCTATCAGTATCTACAATACTTCCAAAAAGTCCATACATGTGATGAATGGGATCTATTTTTAAATCATATATAAGTCATTGTATTGAAAACATTATTTGGACTGCAGATTTTATTCACACTGTAAATGATATGGATTTTTAACAAGGGCTCTACATATACTACATACTGGCCGGGCTTGGGAAGACAAGTTGCTATTTGTGAAGGAGACGGAGATTTTTGTCAGTGCTCATCCTCTTGTGGGGGTGAGGGCATATTTCTTGGAGTTGTTTGCTGCCTAGGCCTAGCCACCTTTACAAGTTAATACCATCTATTTGCAAATGAGTTGAAAAGGAAAGGGAATTTTTAGGGGTTAACCAAAATCAAAATAGAGACCAGAGAGAAGTGAAGGAACATAAATACTGTTGACCCTGTCATCACATTTTTATAGTAAATTGTTCTATAGAGCCTTTGTTATGCAATCTTCTGGGTTTCCATATATATATATGTTCCCATTGATTTTTAAAGACAGTGGAAGGGAGAAAAGAGAGGGAGAGAGAAAGAGAAAAAGAGAGAGAGGGACGGAACCCAGGTACATACCATTGAATGGGAATGGAACCTTCAACCCTTAGGTCCACAGGCAGAAGCTCTAGCCTTTGAGCAAACTGACCAGAGTTTGTTATGTATTCTTCAATTTGGTTTAATAATTACTGATTTCAGCCCAGTCAGTATGGCTCAGTTGGGAGCATAATCCCATGCCCCAAGAGGTCACCAGTTCAAATCCTGGGGCACATGCCCAGGTTGCTGATTGGTACTCAAGCTCGATCCCCAGTAGGGGGCCTGCAGGAGGCAGTTGATCAATGTTTCTATCTCACCCTCTCCCTCTCCCTTCCTCTAAAATCAACTTTAAAATTGACTGACCTGATATTGTCTACAGTTGAACCATTTATTTGTTTAGGATCTAGAATTATACTCATTAAACACACACCCTAATCAAACACATCCATACAAAGTGCATGGACTTCTCCCTCTCCATAGCTACCAAAGATATCACAAAGATATTTAGAACACTGGCCTTTTAGTTGTCAATATCTTGAGGTATGTGATGAGTAAATGGAAGAGCCTTACATCTTTAGTAGTAGAACTGTCAAGAAGAGTTCATTTTTTTGACCCTTGCCTCCCAAATGCAGACTATTTCAGAATCCATTACAGAGGAAATAAACAGTTGATTTTAAGTTAAGGATGAGCCTAGCAACCATTTGAACTATATTGATGTCAAAAGTATCTCTTTGCCAAGCACTAAAATGCATCTTCAAAAACTACTGAAAATATCCAAGAACTTTAGTGATGAGCTACAAATGGACTTTGGTATTGATAAATAAAAGTCAATATGTATAGTGAAAGGACAAGTTACTGTGATAAATGGGCCCACCATCAGTAAAGATCAAATTATTGACTATCTTGGGCTAGGAAAAACCTGTCTATAACTAACTTCTACAGGTGAGAAGAATTAGCCACAACAGCAGTTCAGAAAAAGCTCAAAGAATTCATTAAAAATACAAAAGTAGGCAGCAGCATTTTGTTAACAAATATATTTGTGGCACTAGGCTAATATGTTTCTTTGGTCATACCCAGCCAGGTACACAACTTTTTCTTTTGCCTGAATGAGCTCCCATTTGGCTAATCGTTTTTCCTATCAAGAAGATCTAATTCAAATTTTACTTTCAGACTACCCTCTTGCAGGGATAGTACCTCTCCATTCCTTGAAACCATATCACTCTTGAAATATTCTCTCTAATGCTCCTACTAGTTACTTTTCATTATACCTCAACTAGATCACAAGTTGTATGAGGGCACATAAAAAGTGCTTTCGTTTTTTTACCCCTCATATTGTCTAGCAAGGAGCTCTCTCCAGAATAAGCACTAAATCAATAGTTGTTGATTTCATCATTTTGGAAATGATTCATTAGAGAAGCCTTGGTCACACATCATGTCAGAGTTTAATGATGAAATATCACAGGAAACACCCAAAAGAACAATTGCAAAGATTAGTCTCTCAAAAAAAAAGTAGAATGGTGGTAATTAACCTTTCCAATACCTGTTGTTCCCCATTGACAGAGTATAGGTATTTCTTCTGCAGTAAAATTAATTGGAACCTCTATAAACTATCCAGTAAAAATGGCAAATCTCGTACCATCTCATATTTGAAGCTAAAGTGTAATGAAGCAAAATATCTGAAGAATTGCTTTCTCCATTCTCCATTCTCCTACCCCCCCCCCCACACACACACACACAAACCACACCCTTCAACATCAGTGGTGAAGAAAAAAATAGCTGCATGGCTCCCGCCCGTGAGTGTAATGAAGCTAAAAACTTTCGGGCTTTCTTGAGATGTCAGTTCATACTGGGCCACTTGATTGCCACTAAAAGTGTTTGCAGGTATTTAGTTTGCTGTTCTAATACCATGCTCTCTTCCTCTAGAAGAGAACAGAGTTTTATTGGCTGAATGAATGAATGAATGAATGAATAGGTGAACATTTTAAATTATGAAAGAACAGTGTATGAGGTGATAAGGGCTATGCATTTGCCCAAATAAACACAGGTTCTACCTCATTAGCTGTTCGTAATAGATTTCCTTATATGATTAATTCCCTATTATAAATACTAATATCAGTATTTCAGAAAATTAGCAAGATACACAGAGATAAAAATTATTAAAACAGGCCAAGAAATCTTGACCAATGTCATATTGTTCTGCTATTTTGATGCATTTAATTATCCCACTGAAACAGTTCACAAAAACCTTTGGATTCAAAAATAATCTGTAAGTATGATCTAAATTGGGGGAAATTAAAGGCAGCTACACCAATAACGACTTAGGCCATGTGTGTCGTGTTGCTCCTTTCAAGTCACAGACTAACCCAGACCACCATTTTTCAAATAAGCATCCTTCATACCAAGTGGGCCTGAACAAGAGACAGTTGACAGTAGTTTAAAGCACATATACTCTCTGATCAGGAGGACAGCTAGCAGGGTACCTCTGCTTCATTCATTCATTTTGCAAATCCTTCAAGAATACCTTCTATGGCCCATGATCTACAGAGGTGAATAAAACAGGCTACCTACTTCCTTTCTTTTTTTTTTCAAAAAATTCAAATGTACAACATGAAAAGGTTTTATTCATTTAAAATCAGAATCTCATATATTTTCCTCATAATTTGTTCTCAAACAAAAGGTTTTAGAGATGCAGTGAATCCAAACTCTGCTGGCACTTGCACAGGACAGAGTACTGTCCGTTCTGAGGGGTGCTGAAACGGGGGGACCGGACTCTGTGGATCAGAAGTATGTTACTAGTCTCCTTTAAAGTGTGCATATGTGAGCCTCAGGCTGCGATCGCCAACACAAGGCACACACCACACGAAAACAAACAAGAGAGTACTAAAGCTGCTTTGGGCCTGGCCATTCCGCTGGGCCCCTCATGGGGTGTGTGAAGTAGCCTGGCCTCAGCCTCTGCCCTGCTCTCATCTCCTAACGGAGGTTTGGGAACAGTGTCCCCTGTGCCAACAAACGTGTTATTTCATGTGTGAGTTATATATATATATTTTCTTTATTGCATTTATTGCTTATAAATGTCTCGTGTGTTATCAAGACCTGAGGAAGCAGTGGTCGTGCTTGCCGCAGCCATTTGTAAGAGATAAAATTCCAATGTCGTAAAAAATATACATATTTATGTTGTTTGACTTCAGAGAAGTGTGACAATTTCTATTATTGTAGGCTTGCTTTGTTTCATTATTCACTGGGTTTTCCTCGTGAAGACATGTCCACTTTTTCTGAGATATGATTCAGAGAACAAATGTAATATGGAAATATGTTTCTTATGGAGATCATTTAGACCAAGTATTACAACCTGTGGGAAAATGTGGAAACTTGAGTCTATGTTTTCTCTAATGAAACCAGTGGTTGTAATGTGCTTATAGGAAATTTTAGGTTCCTGTGATAGCTTCTGTTTCTGTTCATAATTCCTACGCAGAAAATAATGTCTCATGACAAGTTTCCTGCAGACCTCCCATGGAGAATACCAGCCCTCTTCATTATCATGTGCAGTGTATTCATTCTATATTTTAAATATTATTTTATAGGGATTTTTTAAAGATAATTGGTACCGTAGTTTTTAATTTTATGGAGAACGACAATGTATGAAACATGTTCATCAGCGGTGATTTGTGCGACAAAAGGAACCATTCCACCAGCGAAGCACTGGTCTTTCTAATTGACTAGCCTGATGTCCCTCTCTGTGTCCTATTGCCATTAATTGACTATATTGTTTTAGATTTATGCATTAAAAATACGATTTCTACTTCGAAGGGATCACTTTGTTACTTTGTAGCTTTTAAGCTGATGCCATGAACTTATTTTTCTTCTAAGATAAAGTCTCATCTATAGATTTTTCAACTAATTACATGTCTGCCAATACATACTTAGAGGATACATTTTATTTCAATTTATTGTTTGTGTTTACATCATTTGTCCCTGGAAATCACTGTGGAACTGAAAGGAAATGTTTTAATGGTGTTTATTACTACTTTTTCATCACTCTTTCTTTTCTCTCTCGCTCTCTCTCTTTCTAATAGCTTCAGCCAGTCTGGTCAAGCATGACAGCGACTCAAACTCGGCAAACTTCCAAGACACTGAGGACGTGCCTGACAGATGTGTCGTGAAAGAGTCTGAGAGTCCAGGTGAAAGCCATTTAAAAATAGTCAAGTATAAAATGATAAATTTGACACAGCTTTGGGGTCCTTGGAAGGGGGTGGGGAGACAGGACATTGTAATGCTGTTTTCTCTTAGCAGCTGCACTGTCAAATTAATGGTCACCTCCAGGGGTCACGGTGTGGAGCTGTTATCTTTTCCTCTTTCATCAAGAATTCAGTTGGAGGAAGTACAAAGGCTTTATGACTGAAAAGGAAGCTGACACTATTAGTTCATTATCATCAATTTTTGGCTAAACTGGTTAATAGAGGCAGAGATTGGAAACTGAAGAAATGGCAATATTTTAAATATTTCAAATAATAGGATCGAGTGGAAAGGGAGAATTAGGGACAAAAGAGACGCAAATTGTCATGATTACAATCTATTTACCTTTCTAAATACAAACAGGACTGTACCTGGCATGAGAGGATTTTAGCATAACAGTAATGGACTAAAGGATGTTGTCAACTGTTTAGAAAGAAAGAAAAAGAAAATAATAATCCTTCCCCATGCAATAAAATTTACCCAATGTCCAACTTACTTATGTTTGTATTTTCTTCGTAGAAAGAATAGACAGAAATGTATTGGAAAAATAAGACCAGAACACTGTAGCATAGATTTTTGTTTCCGTTTTTGTTATCTTTTGAAGCATGCCTAGTCTTAACAACTAATGAACTAAAAGGAGAAAAATCTCTGTGAAAGTTGAAGGGTATTCCTGGATCACTACAAAGCCATCAGGTGCTAAAAAAACAATACCTTATTATCATGAATGAAAGAGTTAACTATCTTCCTCCACTAACATTTTTCTTTCCTATTTTCTCTGGCTGCTGGGGACCCTCTCTCCTCTCCCATCTTTGTGTGCTGATCCATGTATCAGATTTTTGATTCATCCTCTCTCTGGCCTGTCAGCTTAGTTAAGAGATTTCCAAATCTTGTAGCCTTCGCTGACAGGGGGCAGCTGCAAACAGTCCCCTGATCCTTCCCCGAGGAGAGCTACTGAGATTTAATTTTCAGCGAAAGGTGCAGCCTGCAATCTATGTCAGGTCCCCTAAGTCATCTCGGAACCCCAATAGGCCCAGTGGCGATGGCATTGTATTTCAGTCCCTCCACTGCACGAAGATTCCTCAAAAGATGGACTGCTGCCCCGTGTCTGCTCTCAGCCGCACTTCTGCTCTCCCGCAAACGGAGAAATGGCATCTTTAGCAATGACAGAAATTTCTCATCAGTACAGTAAACCCGACCCCTGCCATATCTAAAAGACAAGTGTAGCTCTATCCTATTCTAAAGGGGAGAGGATAGGGGTAGCATTAAATTTCCAAAATAAAATTAATTTAAAATAAACTTTTTGTTTTGACTCAAATTTTTAAACTGTCTTAATAATTGGTTTTCTATCAACCATTGGTCAGGCAGTTAAATCCATGAGGCATATCTTTACCTAAGGGTTCACTGCTTTGGCAAGAATAGATTCACTTTATACCATTTCCAAAGTCGCATAAATTTCCATCCCTCTGTATGAAATTGTAGTGAGATTCAAATATAACCTAGTCAAATCTGATTGATATCAACAAAAGGAGGTATCAAAAAACAGAAAGATTAATTAGAAAATATGGGTGCTGGTAAAGAATCTTAACTTAAAAAGTGAGTATTGTCTATACATCGGACATCATTAAACTGGTAATAAAGAATGAATTACTCTGGCTTTTTCCTCTGTCCACTCCTGCATTTTAAGACGTCTTGCCTTATAGGCCTGGAAACCTCTGGAGAGTTCACTACTGGTCTCACTGCCTTCCACTGAGAATTTGTGGCTTGGTTGTCATGGAGACATCGTATTTCTCCAAGAATTTCTCATATTGATCCGTGGCCAGGCGTAAATGGCCAAGCAAGTGTGAGGAATAAAGGGGGCTGGGCAGTCCTATAAAATGACCAGGGCTTGTGGGTTGGAAATAAGCTCATTGCAAACACTTAGGTAAAAAGAAAGACGCAGTTTTGTTTTGTTTCAGGATTCCTTTCTGCACTTTGGGCCATTGTCTTCTTTCACTATGAACTGAAAGAAACTTGTTAGTCACTTGTCATGTCAGATCTTTGGCGCTTGTCCTGACACAGCTGTCAGCCTTCCAGCTCCGTGCAGTTCAGGGACACACAACAAAGAGGCAATGGCATGAATTATTTATTGCTCCTTGTGTGGATAAAATTCTGTGATAAGAAATTAAGACACTTCTGACAGAGGTGCTTGTTTAGTAAGAAAGATTTTGATGAAAGAGTGCTTTTTTTTGAAGTATGAGCATCGGAGAAGCAAAATTCTTAAAACTGAACATGAAGGAAGATATGTGAAATTGGTGGCATAGAGGGACTTTCTTGACCTGTGTAAATATGACTGTCTACTTCTCAATGTCCAAAAATTAACTTCAAACTATTAAGTCATTCAAATATAAGGACTCCAAAACTAGAAATATTACTTTAGTGACCTACTTAGCTCTATTTACCATGTAAGAGGGTGTTTAGCCACTTTTGTTAGAAGAAAAAGAAATTGGGGGGCTGTAAGTGATAAGCGTTGGTAAGGTGTCTTCAAACCAATGTGCTTCAGTAGCTAAGCTTATCATTGTATTCATATATTTATTATTCCTTGTATAAAAGGAAGTGAATTTAAATCATGAGTGCATCATTCCTACCATTTCACCTAGAATATATCAATAATTTAAAATTTCTTTTAACATTTTCATTTACATGCAAAATCCCCCAGTTACAAAATTGAATGTGGTCAGTCTTTAAGCTTTAATGGATAGTGACCTTATATAGTTTTATCTATGCAATTCTAAATGACTAACATATTTATTACATCATTTTTTAATGAATAGACCCATTTTTGGGACGGCATATAGAAAATGAAAACAAAAAAAATTCACTTTCCCATTCAAGCACAGTTGAAGAATATTCTCATATATTGTTCTTTTCACATAAAGTCTTTTCTTTGTAAATCCTCTAAACATTTCACTTTAGTTCTTCTAGCTTCATATTGCTATTACCAACTCATTTGCACATGCAGAGTGCAAAGGGGCACTGAAGATAGAAAAACTAAAATAGCTTTTTTAAAAGGTGAAGTCAAAGTTTTTGTTTTGTTTTTAAATATATTTTATTGATTTTTTTACAGAGAGGAAGGGAGAGAGATAGAGAGTCAGAAACATCGATGAGAGAGAAACATCGATCAGCCGCCTCCTGCACATCCCCAACCGGAGATGTGCCCGCAACCCAGGTACATGCCCTTGACCGGAATTGAACCTGGGACCTTTCAGTCTGCAGGCCGACGCTCTATCCACTGAGCCAAACCGGTTTCGGCGAAGTCGAAGTTTTTTAAACATTGATAGAATGTTTAAAATGTTACTACTAAAACCAAATTTTTAGAATTTATATAAGACAGTAAGATTGCCATTGTGAACTGACTATATTTGAATACAATGGGTTTTGAACTTCATCTGTAGAGTGTTACTTTTCCATGGACATCACTGCTCTCTGGCGCTGGGGAGAGTGGGATGACTGTTGGTAAATGGGCTGGAGTGTGATTGTAGGTCACGATTTAGAGGTGTGGTGCGGGGGTTGTTCAGCTGGTCTGCAGAGCACTCTACCTGATTCATCATGCCATTGTGATCTCTTGATTGGGTCAAGCTGTATAGCCAGGTGAGTGACTGCAGTCCATTAGGGTTGGCAAAGCAACTTTAGACCAGAGCATTCTTGTTATTCTGACTCTGCTAGTGAACCTGGAGGTCTTGTCTGATAGGTTAAGGTCTCCCTTCGCTGTGTCTTTCCTTTGGAATAATTCATTAGCAAAGAGTTTTGCCTCACAGGTGAATCCCAGATTGAAGTTTCTGCCTTAGAGTCTGTGAAGTCTACTTTCTCCTTCACTGGCGTTTATACATCCCTGAAACCTGTGGGAATAACTTGGATGTCTAGTAATAGAAGCATCGAGACCACATCGTGAACTTGCAGCTCCCTTTCTTTGAGATTTTAGGGCTGTTAGGCTTTCTTTGGCTCTTTAAGGCCTGGTTGCTTCTGAATCTGAAAGATGCCATCCCCAAAATAGTTCAGTTTAGTCCTTTGCTGGTTAACTTCTTGTTTTCTGTTTCATGCAGTGATTAAAGCTCGGTTCCCATTCTCTAGGATAAAAGTCTTCTTGCTGCTCATCTTTGCACTCATGATGATAAAAAATTTAGTGTGACATTCACAATGTTTATCTGAGTGTTAATGAGAGACCTTGAGCTTTTATCACCTTATTGGCTTGGAAAATGAAGAATTTTACTTCCTGGTGCACTTAGGGATAGTACGCATAAATATAGCTTCAGCTGAAAATAGTCGTGACAATAGAGAAAGTACCAAGAAAGCATTCAGACAAGCATTTTCACGTCATTCTGAAGTAATTTACAATCAGCATGCATTCTGCCGTTAATAGAACCTTTTAGTGATTTCTTATATAGCACATTTTATGTGTAGATTTATATACATCATTGTCAATCAATATAGCATTTGCATGAATCTGATGAACAAAACTAGATTTCTCATAGTTTCCAGGAGATACTACATTGTGAAGAGCTAAGGTGGATTTTTCTTTTCTTTTACTATTCTGGCTCATGAATCACCAGCAAAAATCAGGTAACAGAAAGTAGGACAGATTCAGGACTGGAGTGTTGGAGATGGCTGATGATGATGCATGAAGCAGAAAAAATGTGGAATGTGTGAGCAGCCCATCAATCATAGCCATCGAGAACACACTTCTTATGGTTGCTGCTAAAAGAAAAAATGTTCTAGAAGGAGTAAAAACAATTTCAGTGGTAAAAAACACTTAAACTCTTTCTAGTTGTGCTTAAAATATCAAAATTTTATTTATCCAAAGGGAAACATTTAAAGCATTACCTAATAACTTTTAAATAATGTAAAACTTCTTGGCAAATATATTATTTTATGTAGCATATATTATACAATATAGAATATGGTTGAACTAAACCAAATAATCAGGTTTTTGAGTTTTTGCCAGTAGGAGTGGGAGTTAGTATGTATGGTCACGTCACTGATATAAATGTGTTTAGAAGTAGTTAACTAAGGCACCGTGCTCCAATTAGTTTGATAATCAAAGTAATTGAAAACAAGTGATATATTTAAGACTGCAATAACAATCATCTAAGTAGTCCGAGAAATGTTTTCTTTTATTCTATAATTCAAATCATATTTCAACTAACATTTAAACATTTGACCCGAAAACTGCAATTGTGGGCTTTTCTAAAAGTAATTCAGCTCCTTGAAATTTAAGAAAAATTGCTAATTTCTAATCTGTTTCATCTTGTTGAAAACCTTCAGCTTTTTGGCAATGAAAAAACAACCTATATTAATAATGTGTGTAATTAAAATATACCTGGTTTATAAGATAACAATATTTTATTATACTAATATATTTAATATAGAGAAAAATGCAGAAATTATAGGTAATTCCTTTTTTTCCTTCCTTCCTTTCTTCTTATCTTCCTTTCTTTTCTCATTCCTTCTTTCCTTTCATCCTTCCCTCTCTTCCCCCCCTTCCACACCCTCTTCCTTCCTCCTTTCTTTATTTCATCATATAATGCAAGATAATCTGTTTTCTTTTTAGGTGAGCCAAGGCATCATTCATGGATAGCCAAGATGTGCTTCTGCAAGCTGTGCTAAATGAAATATCATCTATAGGAATTGCATTTGGACATATTAAGAGATCCAAAACATGCCATTTGTTTATCGTTGTATGTATGCTATGTTGTTATTGATCAAGACATTCGGTTGTAGTAGATTTGCTAATACTTTAACCAGAGTATATTGAAAGTGTAATTACTGATAGAAAATATCCAAATTTATCTAATTTTAGAAAACCATTGTCTAATTCATTCTATACTCCTATTTCTCGTTTTTATTTTAATATTTTCAACAAGGAATGTCAGCCCACAGACATAGATTTAAACACCATTTTAGACTTTCTTCCGTATTTTCAGTTCCTGAATTATATAATAAGCAACATTAAAACCACATTGCTTTTAAACAGTGTAACACACAATGCTTTTAAATTTAATGTTGCTCCAATGTATTTAATCAAAACTTTACCAAATTTGTTTGATTTGTTAGGCTAGGACATTTTGTTTTGGAAGAAGCTTTCATTCAGGTCCGTCACCCTGCAGTAAATCTAATCCCTGAGGGTGAAATGTTGCCAACAAATAGCCAGTTTCAGTTAGTCACCAATTAGCCCAAATAAGTGACACGGAGTATAATCGGGACCAAACTTGTGCAGTTAAGTTGGATTTCTAATAACATAGAAGCTAATGTCTCTAGCCAAAGGTTGGTCTTGTTGGCCATATAGATGTGCATTTGGGAAGGGGACATACTTACAGCACATCACAATTGATCCTTATGGAGTATAAACTCTTGCAAGTCTTTTTCCCAGAAAGAAGCTTGACTAGCAAGAATTCTTAAACTAAAATATGCAAAGCAATATAAATAGGAACAGACATAAAGCGCTCATCTATGAAGGCCCTTGGTGATCTGATCTATTTGCTGTATTGTGTATTATTCTCTTTTCAAAGAAGAATAAAAATAAATTTAAACCATTGCCAAATTTAGCATTTTTTTTAGGTCTAAGGAAACCAATACTGAAACCTTGATGAATATTTTATGATGTCCCTAGCCATAGGAAATTAGAACTGACATAATCCTGACATTACTAAGTGAGATTTTTAAGATTTTTGGCATCATCTTTAGATGCTAAAATTAATAATTCATATCACATGGCTAATTAAAATAGTTTATCAATATGAATTCTGGAGGCCAACACCAACAACTATCAAACATTTTAATTCCTAAAAATGTGACTTTATATAATACTCCCTAATATCCATGTGCAAGTTATTAATCAAATCTAGTCTGTTTAAAAATGATTTTTTTAAATATTGACTCACATTCAACATTTCAGTAATTTCTGTGGGAAGGAGAATTTACACTAGCAAGTTGTCAATTATTTGGATCAACCACGCGGCAACCCTAACCACAGCTAACAGCTCAGAAGTTAATTTCGTGTCTATCCTTTTTGATAGCCTCACCTTAGGTAACCAGGGGATGAATTGTATTCGTGAGCAAACGTGTTTGTATCCAGAGTCTTCCTTGTCATTGTAATAATTCATTAAAAATTATCTTGTGCTTTTTCTCTGACAATAATCTTGGTGATATTTATGATTATATATTTCCCTCCGAGGAATATCATATTTTCCAATTCGCAGGTAGAAATGCTGTTCTTCATTGCTGAGTTACACCCGGGCTATCCTAAAGAGGACAGAGTCTGGAAAGAACATAGGTTTCACTGCCACGTGTCCGGGCAGCGTGTCCCTGTGCTTCTCAGAGCCTCACTTCCCCGTCCCGTCCACGTAGGGAGCTCCTCGCAGGGTCTGTGCGAAGGCACTCCGCAGGATGGGCCGTGGGAGGCCAGCTGAACACTGTGAAGTCCTTCAAATAGAAGGTGAAATGTATAGCATTATCACGTACAACTACAGAGGTGGCCTTAGGCCTGAAACATTCTGTTGCTATTTTAGAAAATAAGTTAAGGCTACTTTGAACAAGTCACATTAGAAACATGATAAGAAAACACTTTGCT